TAGCTCCAGTACCACCACCTAGTCCAATTCCACCAACTATAGCTCCAGTGCCACCACCTAGGTCAGTTCAACCTTCTACCGCTCCACCACTCCTGACTTATCATCGTCGTCCGCCCCCAGCATCAGGCCCAGCTGATTCACGTCCTGCACCTGACCCTGCTAATACTGCGGACTTGTCTCCTCTCAATTAACCGATTGCACTACGAAAAGGTATACGGTCCACACTTAATCCTAATCCTCATTATGTCGGTTTAAGTTACCATCGTCTCTCATCATCCCACTGTGCATTTGTGTCATCTTTGTCCTCTGTTTCCATCCCCAAGTCTACAGGTGAAGCACTGTCTCATCCCGGATGGCGACAGACTATGACTGACGAGATGTCTGCTTTACATACGAGTAGTACTTGGGAGCTTGTTCCTCTTCCTTCGGGTAAATCGACTGTTGGTTGTCGTTGGGTGTATGCAGTCAAGGTTGGTCCAAATGGCCAGGTTGATCGACTTAAGGCTCGTCTTGTTGCCAAAGGATATACTCAGATATTTGGACTCGATTACCGTGATACTTTTTCTTCCGTGGCTAAAATTGCATAAGTCCGCCTTTTTCTATCCATGGCTGCTGTTCGCCATTGGCCTCTCTATCAGTTGGACATTAAGAATGCTTTTCTTCACGGTGACCTTGAGGATGAGGTTTATATGGAGCAACCACCTGGTTTTGTTGCTCAGGGGGAGTCTAGTGGTCTTGTATGTCGGTTGCGCGGGTCCCTCTATGGTCTAAAGCAGTCTCCTCGAGCCTGGTTTGATAAGTTCAGCACAGTTATTCAGGAGTTTGGCATGGCTCGTAGTGAAGCTGATCACTCTGTATTTTATCGACATTCTGCTTCAAATCTCTGTATTTATCTGGTCGTTTATGTTGACGATATTGTTATTACCGGCAATGATCAGGATGGTATTAGTAAGTTGAAGCAACATCTCTTTCAGCACTTTTAGACTAAGGATCTGGGCAGATTAAAGTATTTTCTGGGTATTGAGGTCGCTCAGTCTAGCTCAGGTATTGTGATCTCACAACGGAAGTATGCCTTAGATATTCTTGAGGAGACAGGTATGCCAATGTTATTTGCAATTTACTCAGAATTTCTGCTGAAACCTGAGTGGCGGAAAGCGACAAAAATGTTGTGGTTTGCTTTTGTTGATCCAGGGCTTCTTGCTATGCTACAACACTATGTAAATCCATTTTGATTAGTAACATATACAAACAGAAAGATACCGGCCATCCTTGTTCATAGTGGTGGGAAGTTCTCTCGAAACTACTTGGTCAAGGGTTCAAGCCTGGTAAACGGTCTCAAAAATAAAAATAAAAACATACAAACAGAAAGATAGATCCATTTATCTATACTATCCATTTAGATTTTGATATCTAAAAAGGAATCGATTTCATTCAATGTTTGATTCAAAGAACTGCGCTTAGCGCACACTCGGGCTCATGGAACTCTCTGCTGCAATGGATGGCAGACGGTCTGTAGTACCCAAAGCAGTGGAGTGATCCAGTAGCGGGGAAGGGGCCTAGAAGTGCCTACTACTAGACCATACTACACTTGGCTCTACACATTTACACACCAGCTTCTTCTGAATTTAAAGGTGGACTTGAGAAGGTAAGGCAGTGTTTAGTACCTGCCTTGCCAAGTTCTTGTAGCGGTCACTATGGTATCTTTCGTAGGAAGGCCGGAACTCGCTTAAAACATGAAGCTTATGGGCTAGAAACACCAATAGGCCTTACCATCTAGGTTATTTTGTCATTTTGTGAAGCAAACATTTTTTGCTGGGTTTTTGTTAGGATTTCATACGGTTAAGTCTTTCTATGTATCCTGTGTTATAGTGTTTCTGTAGATCAAATGGCTTGAGCCTCCAACTTCCAGAACTTTAAGGTGATCTGGATATTGTGATTCTTTACTTATTTAGGAGAAGAATTGAAAAGCTTTGATTCATCTTTGTTCTCTTTGTTTCTTCTGTGAATTCTCCTTGACTTGTTGCAAAAGGCATAAATTCATGTTGATTTCCATATATCTTTTAGTTTTTTTTTTGGATAAGTACTTAATACTTTATACTTGAGGAAAAAATAAACTGCACAAATCTCATCCAATCATCTAGGATTCTGCAGAAATTGAAGACTTTTGTGTGCTCTAGCAATATATGTGGATAGCAGTATGTCATAATGGGCAGCATGAGTTTCTTAACTCTGAAGGCCCTCCTTTTCCTTCTTTTTCCCGCATTCAAGATATCCTTTATCTGCAAAGTCTTTGTATTTGTCGGTTAATATCAGTTCTACCATTTTTAATGAGAGCGTTTCTACCGTATGCCACCTGCAGGAATGAAACTCATGAAGTAATCAAGTACCTGGAGTATTGTGTTCATCGTTTACAAAATGAGGATCCTGGCGTTCACAATCTGTTACTTTCCTTATACGCCAAAAAGGTTCAAGTTATTTAGCTTTTGCAATGCTTATCTGGTCTCATGTGTGCATGCGGGATTTATCCATCTTTCCATTTTCTTTGAGATTTTTTAAATATGCAAATAATAACCCATCCACGATCTATGTTGCTCGGACTCTCCGAAAATGTGGCAGGATACGTGTCGGATCCTCCAAAAGTAGTGCATTTTTGAAGGATCCGACACGGGTGCGGCTACATTTTGGAGAGTCCGCGCAACATAGTCCACGATATCTTCGAATGCTTTGTCTGCATCTAATTTTACTCATTTACAGTTTATAATCTTTCACATTCATCTTTCTTCCCTTTTTCTGTTGAAAACGTGAAGAAACCACGGAAAAATTTAAGCATTATGTTAATTTTCCTATCTATAGCTATTCATCTTGAAAAATTATTTTTTATTTCATTTTGTTCATTCATAATTTATTCAAATTTATAAAAGGTAGCTTACACTTCACCGTAACAAGATAAACAAATGTTTCTTGCACGAACTGGGAGAAATCAGGACTACTTTGTTTACATGATCTGCTTTATACTGTGATGCTGCTTAATTGTTTTTCTGTTCAACACATTTTACAAGTTATACTTTGCAAGAATTGGGAGAACTCAGAACTTCTTTACGTGCTCTGCTTTTTCTTCTGTACCTCGTAATTAGTTATATCTTGGTATTTCTTCGTCATAGAAGTGTTGGATTATCTTAGCCCCTGAAACAAATTAATTCCAAGCCAAAAGAAGTTGGCCAATGGAGAATTGACACAAGGAATCAGGGCCTACCTCCATTTATAGGGAAGGGGCACATATTATATAGGTCTATTTTGCTTTGGGTAAATTTTGATCTTTTATCATGTAAATGTGAATATAAGTCATTAACCATAGCTTTCAGGAGAATCAGGAATGCCTTTCTGCACTCAACAACTTGCTAGATGTCTATTTGCATGCTTGTCAAGTAGAAATATGCCTAGTTGTGCCTAATTTTTCTCACTCACTTTTTTCTTTGCAAGTAGGAAGATGAGAGTGCTCTTCTGCGTTTCCTAGAATGCAAGGTTGGTAAAGGGCAACCAGGTGGCCCTGAATTCTTTTATGATCCCAAATATGCGCTTCGCCTTTGCCTCAAGGAAAAGAGAATGCGAGCTTGTGTTCATATATACAGCATGATGTCTATGCATGAAGAAGCAGTTGCTCTAGCACTACAGGTTCTGTTTCAATACTGATTGCCCTCTTTGTGTTTGCTGGTAGTCTAATGGTTCTTTTAACCTTCCTGCTTATATTCTGCAATTTATGACTACATTAACTATTAAGTTAGCTGATTCCGCCTAGTGGCAAATTAGCTTAAAAAAAGCTAGTTGATTTGTCAACAATAACAACAAACCCAGTAGTTTCCCACAAGTGGGGTCTGGGGAGGGTAAGATGTACGTAGTCTTACCCCTACCCTGGAAGGGCAGAGAGGCTGTTTCCGATAGACCCTCGGCTAGAGAACGGCTGAAAAAGAAAAGGTAATTGCAACAAGTAGGAATAACAACAAGATAAAATAAGATCGAATCCAAGAATGCAGTTAAACTCTAGGTATTAATGGCAATCTATGAATAAAATGATATCTAGTGCTAGCGAACTTAGTAAGACAAAGAGAAACGTTTGACTACCTACGAACCTTCTACGCTAATCTTTGACCTCCACACCCTCCTGCTAGGGCCATGTCCTCAGTCAGCTCCAGCTGCGCCGTGTCCCCCTAATAACCTCTCCCCAAGACTTCTTAGGCCTACCTCTACACTTCCTACTAACCACCGAGGCTAACCTCTCGCACCTTCTAACTGGGCTTCTCAGTGTTATTAAAAGCGCTCGCTTCTCGGTTTAAGCGCTGAAGCGACGCGAGGCGCAGGGCTATCGCTTTTCTGCTACAAAAGCGACTCACATTTAAAAAGCGCACGCTTTAACCGCTTAAGCGAGAAGCGCCACGATGGAAAATGCGGAAAAAAGCGTGCTTAAGCGAGCAGAAGGCATCTGCTAGGGTTTTTTTTAATAAATTTTGGCAAATAAACCATGTGTTAACAAATAAACATACGCTCTTCTGCTGCTCCAACTCCAGCGACGACGACTGCTGCTCCAACGACTTCTTCTCCAGTTCTCGGTAAGTTTCTTCAACGACTTCTTTTCTTCTTCTTCTTCTTCTGTTCTTCTTCTTCTGTCTCTTTTTCTTTCTATTTTTTTCACTTTCTATTGCTCTGTTCTACACATCTAATTTATGTCTGTTCTTCTGCCCTATTTTTCTCTTCTTCTTTCAATTTTTTTCACTTTTTAAGCGCTGATTTTGTGCCCTAAACGACTTCTTCTTCTTCTTCTGTTCTACTTTGTGCTTTGTTTTCTGCTTTATGCTCTGTTTTCTGCTTTATCATCTGCTTTATGCTCTGTTTTCTGGTTCGTGTGAATTAACTATTATGTTTTTTTGCTTAATATGTTATTTTTAATGAGTTCTTAGCCATTTATCTATGCCTATTTTTTTTTTAATTTATGTGTTAAATTGCGCTTCACATGAAAAAAGCGCTTGCTTCGCTTCTCGCTTCGCCTCGTCGCTTTTTTGCGCTTAACGCTTTCCAAAACACTGGGGCTTCTATACTTCTCTTCTTAACATGTCCGAAGCATCTCAACCTCGCCTCCCGCATCTCATCCTCCATAAGGCCACTCCTAGCTTTTCCCGAATAACTTCATTAATCTTATCCAACCGAGTATGTCCACACATCCACCTTAACATCTTCATCTCAGCTACTTTTAACTTCTGGGTATGAGGGTTCTTGACCGGCCAACACTCTGCTCCATACAACATAGTCGGTCTAACTACAACTACGTTTAAGTCTCAGCGGCACATTCTTATCACACAAGACACTTGAAGCGAGCCTCCACTTCATCCATCCTTCTTCGATACGATGCGTAACATATTCATCAATCTCCCCGTTACCTTGTATTATAGATCCAAGGTACTTGAAACTACCTCTCTTGGGGATGACTTGCGTATCAAGCCTCACCTCCATATCCTTTTCCTTGGTACCGTTGCTGAACTTGCACTCCAAGTATTCCGTCTTGGTCCTGCTCAACTTGAAACCCTTAGACTCTAAGGTCTGCCTCCAAACCTCCAGCATCTCGTTAACACCACCCCGCGTCTCGTCAATTAAGACTATGTCATTAGCAAATAACATACACCATGGCACCTCACCTTGAATGTGCCTCGTCAATGCATTCAAGGAAAATAAAAATGGACTAAGAGCTGATCCTTGGTGCAATCCCATCACAACCGGAAAGTGTTCCGAGTCTACTCCCGCTGTCCTAACCCATGTCTTAGCTCTATCATACATGTTCTTAATCACCCTAATGTAGGCTACTGGGACCCTTTAGCCTCCGAGCCTCGCCAGACCACCTCTCTCGGGACTTTGTCATATGCTTTCTCTAGGTCAATGAACACCATGTGCAAGTCCTTCTTCATCTCTATACCGCTCTACCAATCTCCTCACAAGGTGAATGGATTCCATAGTCGAACGCCCCGGCATGAAAGGGAACTGGTTCTCAGAAATGGACACACTGGTCCTCACCCTCACTTCAACCACCGTCTCCGTATGTCTAAGCAGCCCCTTATAATTATTACAACTTTGGATATCTCCCTTGTTTTTATATAGCGTGATCATCGCACTCCACTTCCATTCATCGGGCATCTTCTTCGTCCTAAAAATGACGTTGAATAGCTTAGTGAGCCACTTTAAACCTGCCCTATCCGCATTCTTCCAAAATTCCATAGGGATTTCGTCTGGCCCGATAGCTCTACCCCTGTGCATCTTACGCATAGCTCCCTCGACCTTCTCTACTCTTATGCGCCTACAATACCCGAAATGCGCATCTCGGAGTGCTCCAAGTCGCCAAGCACAATGTCCCTATCACCCTCTTCGTTTAAGAGTTTATGGAAATATGTCTACCATCTTCGTCTAATCTGAGCCTCTTTCATCAAAACTCTACCTTCCTCATCTTTGATACACTTTACTTGATCCAGATCACGGCCTTCCTCTCTCTCTCACCTTGGCTAGTGTCACGGGCACGTTTTATGTCTCACAAAAACAGCCCGCGCGGCAGCCAAGACTCGCCTTGACTTCAGCCTACTCCAACACTCGGCCAAAATTTTCAGCAACTTTGGACTTCGATTAATTTAGGCAGCGTCTCAACGTAGTAAGTTAGGACTGATTTAGGCAACGAAAATATGATGAAGGGATAGAATATAAACGTGAACAAAAGGCACAATATACAGGAAACTCTTTTCCCAACTTTGTATTTAACTCGAGCATACAAAGAAACTCAAACTCAAGTACATCCGTGTACAAAAATGAAGATCACTCTTGACCCTCACAAGACTACTCTTAACCTTAGGTGTTTTCACTCTTGAAAACAAGACTTAGGACTCCTTCCTAACTCAAAACATGCACTCTTACACGTTTTTAACTCTCATGCCACAAAAGGAAAGGGTCCTGCCCATTTATAATATATGAAACAGCCCCATGTTTACAATAGTTGCCCCATTTTAGGCCTAGACACTTGCCCACTCAGCCCACTACTTTACTTTAGTGTAGTTGACACCCCCAACTACTAGGATCATGTAAATCATGCTAAAGTAAATGGGATCATGGCCCCCAAAAACGTGCTAACTCCTGCCAGCATTTTAGCAAAGCTCCAACTGCTGCCCATGTGCACAGCATGTGCCGGTAACCGCCTTTGACTTTGTCAAACCAAGACTTGCTGCCCCAATTTCGTGCCTTGGCTTGGACCAGCTCCAATGCCATTGTATCCAGCTGCATTGTGCCACAAATTGCCTTGCCATCGCCCACGAACTTGGCCCGTTTGCCGCAACTCATTGCCATGACAAATCTGCCCGCGCACTGCCTTCCCGTCGCACATTTGCTTGCCTTTGCCTATCCGTTTTTGCCTTGCCTTGGCATCACTGCCTCATGCCTTGATGCCTTTGCCATAATCAAGTGTCACCCTTAGCCCGCAACTCATTGTCAAGCCCTTGCCAAGCTGCCTCGCATCCGTTCAAAGCCTTAGCCATCGCTTGCCCGTTTCCCTTTTTGACTTTGGTGCTACTCGTGCACCTCTCTTTGCAACACTCTTGCTGCCTCATGGCAACACTCTTGTTGTCAAGTCGAGCTCAATTGGCGGAGGTCTAACAGCTAGCCCGTATAGCTTCTTGTCCCCGATTTTGGCCCCAAGCTCTTCGTACAAAGGCCCAAAACGCTGCAGTTTTAGCCGTAGTAACCGCTAACTTCGCCTCCTTCTTAGCCCTCCTATACCCCTCCCTGTTCATCCTCTTCGCCTCCTCGTCCATGCTCTCTATAAGTTTCAAGTACGCTGCTTTCTTGGCTTCCACTTTCTCTTGTACCTCCTCACTCCACCACCAGTCACCTTTGTGGCCGCTAGGGAAACCCTTCGAGACCTTAACACTTCTTTCGCAGCTACTCTAATACACTCCGCTGTCGTGGTCCACATACAGATCGCGTCCCCACTGCTCCTCCAGGCTCCCAAAGCCAACAACTTCCCCCCAACTCCTGCGCTTTGTCCTTAGTCAAAGCACCCCACCTGATCCTGGGTTTACCATACACAACCCTCTTCTTCCTCTTCCTCACGATCTCCAAGTCCATCACCAATAACCTATGTTGAGTCGTGAGATCTCGCTTGGCCTAACCTTGCAACCCTACCCCTCGCTGGAATGTGACCAAGTGCTCCTCCCTCTTCAGAAAACACGAGTTAGCAATCACCAAATCAAAGGCTTTAGGATAGTCCAACAACGAAGTACCTCCTTCGTTCCTAACTCCAAAGCCAAAGCCAAAGCCAAAGCCATGCACACCGTCATAACCCCTAGAGGTTGCACCAATGTGACCATTGAAATCACCTCCTGTGAATAACTTCTCGGTGTGCAAAATACCACGGACCAACCCGTCAAGGTCTTCCCAGAAACGCCTCTTAATCTCCTCGTCTAAACCCACTTGAGGCGCGTAAGCTCTAATCACGTTTAAAGTAGACCCTCCCACAACTAGCTTAATAGCCATCAGCCTGTCGCTCACCCTCCTAACTTTTACCACTAGCTCCTTAAGTTCCCTGTCAACCAAGATACCTACCCCATTCTTATCCCTCTCGCGTCTTGAGTACCACAATTTAAACCCATCAGCATCTCGCGCCTTCGAACCCACCCATCTAGTCTCTTGGACACAAGCTATGTTGATCTTCCTCTTCTGGAGGATCTTTGCTAACTCTATAGACTTCCCCGTCAAAGTACCTATGTTCCAGGACCCCACTCTCAACCTAGAGACTCCACAAGCTATGTTGATCTTCCTCTTCCGGAGAATCTTTGCTAACTCTATAGACTTCCCCGTCAAAGTACCTATGTTCCAGGACCCCACTCTCAACCAGTGTTTGGAAAAGCGATCGCTTCGTCGCTTTAAGCGCGAAGCGATGCGAAGCGACAGGGTATCGCTTTTTACTGCATGAGGCGATGCGATCGTGTGAAGCGCACGCTTCAGTGAAAAAAACGACAAGTCGACGAGGCGACGAAGCGAGTGAAGCGATCGCTTCTTTTAAAAAATCGCAGCTGGGCCCTTTTTAAAAAAAAAAAGATTGGGTCTGTTTGTAAATTATACAAAACAGACCCCTAACCTCGCTTCTGTAATTGCTTGACAAGACAGAGACCTCTTCTCTCTTCTTCATCGACAAAACTAGGGTTTCCAGGTAAGTTTGTTCTCCTTTCTTCTTCTCATTTTTTTCTTTCTTCTTTCTTTCTTCTTCTTGTTCCCTTCCAGATTCTGCTCTTTATTTCTTTCTTTTTCCTTCTTTCTTCCTTCTTCTTCTTCTCTTCTCTTTTTCACTTTTTCTCCTCCAGCGTCTGCACAGCTAGGGCAGGCGTTGGTTTTCTTTTTTCCCTCCCTTTTATTCTTCTTAATTTTAATATGTATTTTAGTTTATAAAATTACTTATTAAATATATGTGTTATATCTTTCAGTTTATTTGATTTTTTAATGTGTATTTCAGTTTAAAAAATTAATTATTTTATATATGTTATATTTTCAGTTTATTTGATTAATTTTATATATATATATATATATATATATATATATATATTAGTTTATTTGATTTTTTTAATGTGTATTTCAGTTTGTAAATTAATTATTATATATATTATATGTACTTTCACAATTGCGCTTCGCTTTTGAAGCGAGGCGAGCCCCTGTCGCTTTTTTGCGCTTCGCGCTCTCAAAAACACTGGGTCGGGGTAAGTTCAAAGTCCGAAAAATGGAACACGTTGTGTGCCGGGTCCCAGCATGTGACCAATGCTCTTATAATGTCTCCCCGAGGCACAATCTCCAACAAACCGGTAAGCCNTGTGTGTGTGTGTGTGTGTGTGTGTGTGTGTGTATATATATATATATATATATATATATATAAGACTTAGTTTATTTGATTTTTTTAATGTGTATTTCAGTTTGTAAATTAATTATTATATATATTATATGTATTTTCACAATTGCGCTTCACTTCAGTGAAGCGTGCTTCGCTTTTGAAGCGAGGCGAGCCCCTGTCGCTTTTTTGCGCTTCGCGCTCTCAAAAACACTGGGACAAAGTCTTCTCGATTACAACCCTCAAAATGAATTTTTGTACAGGATTCTGGGAAGAGATTATGATCGACATTAGGCATATTCACATTTCGAATTGTCTGCAAACAGCCCTCTGCTTCTAGCTTCTATGACAATTTTCTGTAAATATTTGAGCTCACCTGTAGGAGTTTTTGCTTTTTTTCTACGTAGGCCTTGTTGACANCCCCCCCCCACCCCCAAAAAAAAATTCCATCTGAGGACATGGCCTTATTCAACCATCACTCACCCCAACCACTATAATCTAAGGAAAATTAAGCTAGAACTGTCGCTAAAACAGACAAAGGATTAAACTAAAGGAGGCAGGTCTAACACTTATAGCTCTAACCACTAGAAATGCGTACAGATAAGACAAACAGACAAGCAAGAATTAAACTAGTGATAACAATAGTTATATAAAAGAAGGCCAACAGAACAGCTACTAAGAATCCAAATTACAGTCTAGAAATCCATAAATAGTTACTAGCAATTAAAGTATTCAGGCAGATGCACTAATTAACTGTAGGAAATCAAGAATTAGGCTTAAACTATCGCAAACTAATTGGATACCAACAAGGAAGACAGAGATATTGATCGAAGAACAGGAGGTACCAACTCCCGATTAGTGCGAAACATGGGTGAATCGTCGTAAATATCAAGGCCGCGCTGCCGTAGTAACCTAGTTGATTTCCCGCTGCCACCAACCGATTTTGACGTCCGCCGCACTCTTTGATCCGGTAGTGAATACCTGCAAACACATAAGGGGGAACTAAAGAAATTGTCCTGTTTTCACTTATTCTATTGCTGGACGTTTATTTCTTTGGAGTTTCTAAAAATGCACCTTCTGTTTCGATAAAGCAAGAAACCAAAATTTGAATTTACATAAAATGATTAGATCAATTTAATATTCGTATTTAACATGGAAAAATCAAATTCTATATCTGGAACATTGGCGCAATATTATTATGAAGCTAAAGAGTTCGTCTGATCACTGCTCAAAATAGTGAAGCGACTTCAAAAATAGCCTTTCA